GCCAGTCGCAGCCCTCCTCGAGCTGCCAGTCTCGATCGCGATCAGCGTCCTTCGAATCACAATCGACATGTCGCCGCAGAAGGTGGTCCACACCAGCGATCGGGCCATGGCCGCTCAAGCTCGACTATCGACACACTTGCGACGATCGCTCTCGCGACAAGTCCTACCTTCGCATCACTCCCTCCCAATCCTCCTTCCCCAACCCTTCGGTCGACGATTCCCTTGTTCCCGTCTGACTCCGCAGAGTCTGAACGACCGGCGAAGCGGGCACGGTCGGCGAGGAATCCGTCACCCTACCGCCCGCGTCCAGGAATGCTGACAGAAAACCCACAGTCGGCTGGGCTTGAAAGCATGACAACCGATGCAGAGCTTTTACTCAATCTCGCGCGGCCTACTAATTTCCACCCGGGCAACCACACTAAACGAGTGAGCATCGACGAGACCTACCACCACTACGCTGGCGACGCAACTCGTCAATCTCGAGTTGGGTTTGCTGCCGTTGGACATCCGGATCAGGGCGATGTCAAGATGAATCACAATTCTGAAGATATACCTCACGCCCGCATGCGCTCTCGCTCTGATGGGTCAGCCTTCATATCGCGTCCTGCGATGCGTGGAATCCGCCCGACTACTAGCTCTGGCACTCTCCCACCAATAGTTTGGGAGGATGAACATGAAAGCAAAGCCTGGCATCCGCCAGCTGACACGCCTCATCATACTACTTATGGGATCCATCCTCCGGCCGATCCCAAGGGACCTCAATTCCCGCAAAATTCCCTACCCGTTCCACCAAAAGTAGAAGAGGAAGAAGGCGATACCAATCAAGCAAGCTGCGGGGCGTGTCTTCTAGTGCGTATTCCAGTTGAGACCGAGGAACAGGATGAAGACACGTGGATCAGTTGCGATGGATGCAAACGATGGTTCCATATCGTTTGCGCCGGCTTCAAGAATGATCGGGAGGTTCGCACAGTCGACAAGTTTATCTGTCGGCTTTGTCGATCAGTGTATGGCCAAACAACTTTTGTACGCAAGTCCTCGCGGGCCCGGACAGCCATCGACTACGCAGGCCTGAACCAGGGCCTCGTCAAAGCTGCCACTGACTCGTTGGAACATCACTATCTCGAGCCAATTCGACAAGGAAAGATCCGGTTCCAACCTGAGAATTTCCCCCGAATGAAACCTGAGCTGGTCACAGCTGAATACTTCGAGCGAGGGAATGGGTGGACGGAGCCTATTGTAATACCTGCCTGCTGGAACTCGTGCGAGCCTGTTTCAGAGAATCCAGACTTCGAATCTCTAGTACAGGAGGCTTCGTCTCAAGAGATGTTTGATGATCTTCTCGAGAACCACCCAGAACAAGAGACCCATATTGAAGAAACAGTCGATTGTGGCCAAGACCTCTTGGGTATGGTCATTCCGCGGGGTCTCACTGTCCGTGCTGTGGCAGAGCTTTACGGACCCGAAGAAAGGGTTGAAGTGATCGATGTCAAGTCTCAGCAAGGAGAGGACAGGAGGTGGAACATGAAGAAATGGGCCGATTACTACGAAAGCAACGAGTCAGACAAGCCTGTCAGGAATGTTATCAGTTTGGAGGTATCGCAGAGCAAACTTGGCAGACTCATTCGGCGACCCAAGGTTGTGCGCGACTTGGATCTGCAAGATGCCGTGTGGCCAGACGAACTGAAGGCAATTGGCGAATATCCCAAGGTTCAGTTCTACTGCCTGATGTCTGTTGCCGACTGCTATACCGACTTTCACATCGACTTTGGAGGATCTTCGGTGTACTACCATATCCTGAAGGGCAAGAAGACTTTCTTCTTCATTCCTCCCAAAGACAAACACCTCAAGAAGTACGAGGAGTGGTGCAATTCTCCCGCCCAGGACTCGATTTTCCTTGGAAACCAGACCAAGGAGTGCTACCGTGTAGATCTCTCCGAGGGAGACACTATGCTGATCCCGTCCGGCTGGATTCACGCAGTCTGGACTCCGGAAAACAGTTTGGTTATTGGTGGCAACTTCTTAACCAGACTGAACTACGGGATGCAAATCAAGATACTCAACATCGAAAAGGAGACCAAAGTCCCCAAGAAGTTCCGATACCCTTTTTTCCAAAAGATCCAGTGGTATACGGCTCAAAAGTATCTGGAGGACGACCCCGTGCCGCAAAATGTGATGGAAGCGTTCATGCAGGATGAGAACTACCGGTTCCATCGTCAATATCCAATTTATTACGAATTTGGAGAACGAGCCAACCAGGAGCCTCCGGGTTCTCCCCATCACAATGCACGTTTTTATTCACAGGCGGAGTTGGAGGGTCTACTTGAGTTAACTAAGTATTTGCTACGGACTGCACTCATTGCGGGTGGCTATACCGTTGATGGAGTTGTCTCCATGGATGTTCGAAACGCGGTCAGACGCTCCATTCCGAAAGGCACGGGAGATCCAGTGGACATGATCAGGAGGTTCGGAATTTGGGTCGCGTGGAAGCGTGGTAACGAGAAGGCACCCCTCTGGACTCGACCTGGCGTCATCGAAAGCAATCCCAAGGTCTCTATTACAGACAAGAAGCCCGCCGGACGACCAAGCCGCCGATCCGAACGCAATGTCGATAACCAACGCACCTATGCCGAACGACAAGCGGTCCAGTGGCCTTCAGAAGAGGCCCCTGCAAGCCCGAATCCCCCAGCTAGCAACCTTGCTTATGCGCAGTCTGATGGAAGTACCACACCGGCGCCATTTAGTATTGCTCCAGAAACGAGCATCAAAGACATTGCCACACCCAAGCCCAGGGCTGTCCAACGGACCTCAGGTCTTGGTCCCAAGCGAGTTGCGTGTGACGCCTGTCGTAAACGGCGCATTCGATGCCGACACAAAGATGAACCCGGTGATCTAGTGCTCAACGGGCAAGTCGCGGTCAATGCTTCCACACCGGCCTCCGGGGTGAGCACGCCGTCCTCCTTGGCCCAGGATGCGGTGTCCGCTTTGAATTCTTTGGCAGCGATTGCATCGCAAGCTGGGTTCCAAAACAATGGACATCTTGTTGACCTGGAACGATTCGAGAGCTCGGCAAGATTCCAATCCGCGGTCATGGGCAACTCTACGATAGCCGCCAATCGCCTCATTGATGTGAGCCCTGACGGAACTAATGGAGGAAAAAAGGGGCGCAGCAAGGCGTGCGATGATTGTCGGAAGAGCAAGGTTCGTGTTACCGCAAAGGCTTCTTTTGCTCGTTTTCCTGTTACTGACCTGAAACCAGCGCCGTTGCATCCACGATGAGTACGGTCGGATAGATCCGGTCAAGGCTCAGGAGCGCTCTAAACCTCGTGCGAATGCTTCCGCCAAACGAGCACGCCCTGCTGAAGAGGATGACATGCCTTCCACAGCCAAAAAAGCGAAGCAGGAGAGCACGTCGCCCATGACACAGCCTGCGTTGTTCTTCGATCATGATGGCGATGAACTGATGGCGCAAGACGACCTGAGGGACGCTTATGATCATGTGCCTTTCAGCCGAATTAACTCGGGTAAACAGCTGCCTGAGGCAGATAAGGCACCTAAACAGGCTCTGTATGCATCACCACCTGCCCTTCAGCCCGAGCCTGTGGATGCAAAGGAAATAAATTCTGTGTCTGTGTCTTCATCGAAGCCAAACACCTCCTTGGTCTCACCGCCCACGTCGCTGGCCGACGAAATGGATGGGGTCCAAGAGGGAGATGCCGTACAGTCTGTGGAAGGGGAAGTGTCAACTGCCCTCCACACACCCAACTCCAGTTCTCGACACTCATCTCGCCAACCTCGATACGTCGATCGGTTCGCTCCTGAAGCAAATACAGCCCGGGCTCCGAAGCAAGCCACACGAGCCACGTCTTCGACCATCGGGCCACGCAAGACCACTCCTGTTCCAGCCTCGACAAGAAAGCCTTCATCACGTCCATCGTCTTCACACGCGAAGAAGAGCTCTCCAATGTATGAAAAGCACTTTCATCGTCACGCCCCTACATCACTATCTCCGCGTCAGCACAAGCATACTCAGCACATCACTGGAGATGAAGATGCAGACGAGGAAAGTCTTCGTTTAATACGAGAGCTGCAGGAACAAGAATTTGGTTTGCGTAAACGATCGACAAGGGTTTAATTTTGCAAAGGTTTGAAGGCTTGGTCCGGTACAGATGAGAGATGTAGAATGGGTTCTGCTTTATGTTTTTATTATTCGGGATATCAATTTATCAAGGGTTCGGGATGGGAGATCGGTGTTTTCTTTCTCTTTTTAACAATCACGTTTTCATGTTGTTTCTGGCGTTTTCTCGTCTGGGGGAACTGGGGAGTTTTGTTTTTGGCTTTTGATATCAATGGTCGTTTGCATCAGATTCTTTTTTCTTTGTCAATCTGCCCTGCTTTGCTTTTCTCGGTCTGATTCCAAACTTTTTCTCTCTAGTTTCTTTATTCTTTATTCTTTTTATTCCCTGTGGACTCTTTGTTTTATGCCAGGGCCTCTTCACAACCAACACTTTGCTTGATAATCGTTTGTTGGGCTTTCTCTTTCCCTTCGGCTGCGCACAGCAAAGAGGTATTTCTGCAAGTCTCGTATATGTACTTCTTTCTTTCATTCGTCTGACACAATCTGCGTGGTTTACCCTCATGCTTCCAATCACATATTCCTGGAGAGGTGTATATTTCCAATTGAACTACGTCGAATAATCTAGAGAACACGGGACTTCCTATTCCGGAACCAGCACACGCAGCCTATATGCCGTATATAATATAGTAAGCGCTGGCTAAACCCTTCTATTCCCCTCCGAAAATTGCCGCCAAGATAACATAAAGAGAGAACCTAGGTACGCGATAGCGCATTACTAGTTGCATGATATGGTATTCAACAGAATCTCCGCGTAGACAGCCAAGATCGATTCGCTACAACACCACCACATAATCCACTGCTTCCTGCTATGTAACGGGACCTCCCTCACCTCCGTCACAATCCAGTATATCCAACCCCAGCTAAGCTAGGTCAGTACAGATACCGTCGCAGGCTCAGCAGTCCGCAGCACTAGCGGTATAGTATCGGTCATTGCCTCAGCCGAGCTACTCCAAAGCAGAGAGTACAAGCCAGTGCCAGTTGATTTCCCGTAGAAGTTTGCGCCGCTAACAGTGACGAGGACATAGCTCCCATAAGTAGACCAGACATCACTGAGCTTAGTCGTGTTCGACCTTTCCGTACCAGAACCGGTGAATGAGACTGGATTGGAGCCTGCATCGCCTTGTTCCAGACACAGCCTATTGGCATCGGTCGAGAGGGCGGTGAAGGCCTCGTTGGAACTGGGGTGTGCAACCCAGGTGTTGTCAGCAGAAGCGGTGACTGGCTTAGGTAAGCCTGTGGATTCGTTCACGGGTGGTTTTCGCATGGCATCAAGTAGGGATATTGGGTTCTTACAGTTGATTGGGGTCATTGTGGCCATTGTGGTTTTGTCTACTTTGGACTCATCTGCGACTTCGGCACTACCTGTTGTCAAGGTGATATATATCAGTTAACACTGTTCTCTTTTGGGCTTGAGAGGGCTGAGATACCGTTCCTGTAGAAGACGGGCAGTCCGCTAATGCCTGGGCCATAGGCATACAGCTTGAATGAATCGGTTGTCCTTAACTGTCGCTTTTCAAGTGGGTGCGTAGAGCAGACTAGCCCAAAGGCTAGAAGGAGAAGAATAGAAGGAGATAGCATCTTGCAATGAACAAGTCATACAAAATGTTAGAAGGGGTTGTGCACGGTAGTGTGTCAGGATTGAGCAAAACTTATAGAACAGGAAGAGTCACGAGGGCATAGTCGATGAGATAACAGTTGATGTAATTAGAAGCAGGCAGCAGTGGACACTAGGAACTATTGAATGACATGAGTGGTGTCCATGTTTCTTCTCTCTGTTTTCTGAGATTGTGATCCAAGCCTCCTTTTGTGATTTGGACTGGCACTAGCTGATGATCCGTAATTTATAGCTCCATTCCCAGAATCCCAGTAAAAGAGAAACGCCCCCGTCGTCATCGTTTGGCTGTATTCCATGTCAAAATTCAGATCCTGGCGGTTACAACCCCAATGGTCAGGTCAACTATCCACTCACCATGCATGTGCTGCCTCAAGACTCTTAAGACTCTCGCAACTATCGACAATCCTGGACAAACCAGCTGATATCTCGGGAAAGTAAACATTGAAATATGCAAGATCGCAAAACTAGTTCCATAGCCATACACGTGGGATGCTTACTCTCGTATACGCAAGGCTGGAACGGGTTACACGGAGATGAAACAGGTCGCGTCGGGGAGCATAGCCCTAATGCAAGTCCTGCAAGCCAATCTGACTGTGATCGAAGAAAATGATATCCCTCAGGCTCAATCTCCATCATTAGGCCTCTTTGCAAGTTTTGGCTTTGTTAATTTGAGACACACAGCCCTATTTGCATGGAATATCGAGGCTCTCCATCAATAGTACACTACGAGAGAACAGGCAGTAGCAGACGTCTGCAGACTCAAAACTCAAAACGGCCAGTGCGCAAGTCTGATAGACAGCACAATACTCAGTTTCTGGCAAGGCCCCCGAACAGATGATCCTCTTACGGGTTTGGATGGCGAATGGTCCCTGACGCGGATACGGGGCGACTGGGATCTCACTTTTCGGATATCCACTGAACGCATAGCCTCAACACCCGAGCTGGACGATAGGTTGACGCTTTGCCATGGCCATTCGTCGATCGGGTCGTGTTGGGTATCACAAGATCTTGTTTCGCACGGCATCGCCGGTAAGGCTGGCTGGTATATCCCAGTTAGGAGGTACGAATGCAGGACACCTCGTGAAGAGAGACATAGCGCTTTTGGTCCTGGTAATACCTCCTCGTGTTTTGCTGTGCAGTTCTGATACATAAAATAGTGGCTTAAATAGAGGGCAATTCTCTTAGTTGTGTATCAGCAGCAAGTCTTATTCGTTTTCTTATACTACAAGTTCTTTGGGTTTCTCTCAGTTTTTTCTGGATGCATTAAAGCTCTATAGAGCTATACTTGTGACCCAAAGAGAATTGAGCGTTGTATAAGTGCCCTGCGTGGGTAGAACGGGCAGTCATGAAGCTCCAATCTCTTCTTCTCCTGGCATTTAGCCTGAGTGCTTCTGTTTCGGCCATTCCACAGGATCCAGTCGATTCAGTGAATATCCAGCCACAACCCCACAGACCCACGGCAACCACATCCAAGATAAAGCACAAGACAGTCAGGACCAAAGCCAAAACCAAAACCACCACCAAGATCCACAAGCCAACAGGAAGACCCTGTGCAGGCAACACGCCCCGAACACGGTCCAAATGGTGCCAATATGATGTCGAGACTGATTATACGAGAATAGTACCTGAAACGGGAATAACCAGGGAGTACTGGCTCAATATCGAAGAGCTAGTAGCAGCACCAGATGGGTTCAGCCGGCCAGTAATGGCCATGAACGGGACGATCCCCGGCCCAACAATCTTCGCAGACTGGGGCGACTGGGTCGTGATCCACGTCAAGAACAGCCTACACAATTCCCAGAATGGAACGAGCATCCACTGGCACGGGATCAGACAGAACCACACGAATGGCAACGACGGCGTGGTCTCCATCACGCAATGTCCGACTGCACCAGGCTCAACCATAACCTATAAGTGGCGGGCCGAGCAATACGGTTCGTCGTGGTACCATTCCCACATTGGACTGCAGGCGTGGGAGGGTGTCTTTGGCGGGATTGTGATCAATGGCCCTGCTACGGCGAACTACAATGTCGATAAGGGCAGTTTGTTCCTGACGGACTGGTCGCATCCTACTGTTGATCAGCTGTTTTTGGAGGCTCAGACGGTTGGTCCGCCGACGATGGACACTGGCTTGATTAACGGGACGAATGTCTTTGGTAATGGGACCAATTCTACCGGCCAGCGGTTCGAGATGAAGGTTAATCAGGGGTCTTCGTACCGGCTGAGGATTGTTAATTCCGCTATTGATACGCACTGGAAGTTCATGATTGATAATCATACGCTTACTGTTATTGCGGCGGACTTTGTGCCGATCAGGCCGTATACGACGAACTATATCGATATTGGAATGGGTATGTGTTGTCTTGCTTTTGAGATCAAGCCGCAGCCCTAACACATCTAACCTTGGAACAGGCCAACGCTATGACGTGATCATAAGACCAAGTTGGCGCCAACGCCAGATCTCCGACTCATTCTGGATCCGCGCAATTCCACAAGCAGCATGCTCTGAAAGCGCAAATCCAGATAACATAAGAGGAATCCTCTACTACGAAAATGTTGCTAGCACACCCACAACGAACCCCTTCACCTTCTCGGACGAATGCATCGACGAGCCAGCCTCCCGACTAATCCCCCAAGTTCCCAAGACCGTCTCAGCCGCAGACTGGAATAACCTAACGGACGTCACATTGGGCCGGAATAATGCCAACCTGTTCCGCTGGTACCTCAACAGCACGACTATGCAAGTCCTCTGGGAAGAGCCTACATTACTACAACTCTTCAACAACGAAAACACGCCGAACTTCACGGCGTCGAGTGGAGTTATTGAGCTGCCGCGGGCGCACGAGTGGGTATATCTCATGATAAACACCAGTTTCCCGGTGGCACATCCTATCCATTTGCACGGACATGATTTCTTTGTTTTAGCGCAGGGGTCGAATCCGTGGAATGGGAGTGTTGTGACTAATAACCCGCCGCGGAGGGATACGGCGATGTTGAATGGGAATGGGTTTTTGCTTATTGCGTTTGAAACGGATAATCCCGGGGCGTGGCTTATGCATTGTCATATTGGGTGGCATACGAGTGAGGGCTTTGCGTTGCAGTTTTTGGAGAGGGAGAGTGAGATTGAGCCGCTGATTGATCGGAAGGCGCTTGAGGATAATTGCGCTTCTTGGAATGCTTATGATGCGGCTTTTGATATTGACCAGGAGGATTCCGGGGTTTAGGGATATGGGTATTTTCTAGTTCTAGATGGGTATCATTATATACGTGAGCTTCGTATTAGGCCGTGTGCTAGTATATTTATATCAACAGCAGTCTGCAGAAAGTATAGTATCCGTCATTGCCTCAGCCGAGCTACTCCAAAGCAGAGAGTACAAGCCATCAGTACCAGTTGCTTTCGCGAAGAAGGAAACTACGAGCCTGGGCGCACGTTTGATGATAGAATCTGGTAAGAATTCATAATGATAATAATAAAAAAAACAATAAAAAAAAGAAGCCCCCTAGAAGCAACTCTTTATTTTCCCTTTTTTCTTTTGAAATTACTGCCCGGGCGACTTCTCTGACCCTCTCATGGGTGAAGAGGGGGGCAGGGGCCGGCGGAGGTAGTCGGGTTGGGGGGCGGGGGGGTTCGCTGCCCACCACCACCACCACGGAGGCAGCCCGAGCAGGCGCGGGGAGTTGTTGGCAGGCGGGGGGTGGTTGTTGGCCGGCGGCGGGACACTGTCGGGCGATCTAGTGAATTTGACTCTGAAATCAATGCGGGCAACCACGGCGATGATAAAGGTCGTGACCCAGAGATGATTGGAGGGAATACAGGGAAGAGAGGCATAGGTGGGTCAGGAATCTATGTGGGAAATCATAGCGATGAAGATAGCGATGAGGGCTATATGCTGGATGAGGACGAAAACACCAAGGAGGATCTATAGGGCCAAGTTAGGAATGATGAGATTGGAGGTGTGTTGGAAGACATCATAATCGGGCCGGAGGGGGAAGACGTGGATATCGTTAGTGAGAAGATTGTCATCCCTGGTAGCCAGGATGATCCAGAGATTGACGACGAGATTACTAGTGATCTACTCTGGCTGAAAATGCGAGCTACAAATTCAATATCTGCAAGAGTATAGTAGAGCCACCGACATGGTCAGTCCGGACTTGGACAAAAGGCCTTTGTGCCTGTCCTACTGGCACATTTTGGGTCGCATCGATGTTGACTGGATTACGCGACGACTGATGGAGGCAGTTTCCCCGATGGTACAAAATTTGTTTGAGAAGGATATGATCGCTCTAGAAGACTGGCTTGCCCTACCTGTAACGGAAAGTGAAGACCGGGCGGGAATATGTGTTTATTATAGTAGGGGGAAACCGAAGGCGGTGACCTCATTCTCGCAACGTGGGATCGAGCATAGAAAATCGGGTTCGAGCTGGAGTGCACAAGAAACTGTCCACATGGTTAAGACAATGGGGGGTTCGCGGCTGTACCAGAAACTCCAGCAAAGAAAACCAGCGTATACTCTGGTTCTGGCGGCTTTCAATACTCCTATCCAGTGAGGGTGTCTTAATCTACTGGAATGGTTGTTTATGATCTTGCTAGGGACTCTGGAGAAGCCGAGTTACTCTGGTCACTTTGTCAGACCTTTTGATTGGTCCATTATTGAGGATATCCGAGAGAGGATTGGTATTCCTTGGGGCAAAGACATCTTAGGGTTCAATTTGGCGTTCCCTTTGGTGCAAGGGTCCTACAACAAAGGTGCTAACGAGATGTCGCCCTGTGTTCACTCTGGGATGATTACTGGATCTCGCAAACACCAGACGATGATGGAAGGTAGTGAAGAAGCCTTCATATCCAATTCAGTCGGTCTTGCCCCGATGACCCACTCGGCGGTTATCGCTGCAAGTGGTGCCATAGATTCAACAGAAAGAGGGCGAGGCTGCCAAATAAGGAGGAGATATAGAAGAGGATGACCTGGTATCTGTTGACGGGAAAGTTGCAATGGTGCCGAGAGCAGTCTTTTTAATCCTATTTTCAGTCTTCTTTTCGGTACGTAGTATTTTTAGTGGTCTTTTAGCCCTCTTCTCAGTGGTCTTCTCAGTGGTATTCTTAGAGGTCTTTTTAGGTGGTATTTTAGACATTTCCTTGGATTCTTTTTAGCATTTATAGACCCATCTCCATAGGTCATGAACCTTCCTCCTTACGTTATCCTTCAAGCGTCCGGAGGTCTCTCTCTACGATGCGCCATCCTCACCCTCGAGGGCCACGCCCACGCGTAGAGTTTTCACGCTCGTCACGCGGCCGCGTCCCTCTCCTACGGCGTACACCTTTACCAAGTGCCTCACCATTCGACCCAAAGATTCCAACAGTGGGTATGAATTCAGGTGTAATCGATGCGGCGCAAACGGTAGACCGGATTGCCCAGCTAAGGGTCAAACCGTCAGGCCGCATTTTGTGTGCCCCATGTGCACGGAAAACAAATATCGAGACAGGGAATGAGGCCCTACTCGAGAGGCTGGAGAACCCGAAGGTGAGGAAGAGGGGAAAACGAGAGACAGAGAAAGCGAAGAGAGGACCTAAAGGAGAGGAACAGGTAAACCACGGATAAAGGAAAGGCATAATGTTGGAAAGGGAAAGGAACGAAGGGTATATATGTCGGTAGATTTGATCATTGGGGGTCGCGGCTTTGTTTCAATGGCTGAACGTCCTGGCCCAGGTCGTGACTCCGAGCAGATCGGGTTCTGGCGAGTCTGGCTCGGGAATCGGGGTGCTTGATTGGCAATGAGGGTCGTCACTAAAGGGGGGAAGGTTGGCAGCGCAAATTGTATGTTGGATAAGAGATATTGTAATGAGGAAGGTCGGATGATGAACCTGGACAAAGAAGAAGCGCGGCCTCTGTTGCATCTCATGCACCTAGAGAGCGTTTCTGACATATTTGAGACCGAAAGTCCGCATCCTTTTGCAAGGTAACCTTTCCTTTACTACCCAACCCGTTCCATCTTAATACTTCAGCATGAACAGATTTCCCTATCACATTCCGGTGGGACATGCTACCAATCTTGTGGCAACATCCTCGTCTCCAAGAAGGCATATAGGAGTTGGCGAGCTTGAATGCAAACGATGAGGAAAGTTCGATTGCATGTCTGTCATTATCGGCTCCATTTCGGCGCTCTAACTCTAGAGGCACCGAAATGTCTCGGCACGAATATATGTGACAAAAAACGGTACAACCTAACAGGCCAGTGTGGTCCTTGGGGTCAATATTCTGACACCGGAGATAGATCATCTGGAAAGTTCAGCTCGAATACAACCAAGCCTAGTGGATGTCCTCGACCTTGCTATGGCCGTTCTGTGGTCAAGACCGATACAACCTCACAGGCCAGTGTGAGCTTGAAGTCAGACTTCTGATACCGGATCTGGACAGTCCCTGGGGAGAGCCTTTCATGGCTAGCCCGACCGAGCAGGGTAAATTCAATCCTATTCACTCAAAACCAACCAAACCAACTCAATCAAAACTATCAAAACCCTTTCACTCGGAATCATCAAAGACATCAAATCGCAAGCACCCAATCCCATTATCACAACCATCAAGTCCTTTTCAAGCAACCATTCAATACTGCAAATCGCAAACACGTAATCGGAAAGATTCAATTCGAAGCATCAATCCTATTCAACCATGCACAAATTCCTTGGCTATCAAATACCCCAAGCCATCCAATCCCAACCAACGAACCCTGCTCTATCGCAGCCTACAAAGATGCCGATCCAATTGCACACATGTAATGGATCCAGTTCAGTCCAACTATCCACAAATTTCCTGGTCATCCGACAAATCTCCTTCTCGCAGCCGATGTTGGCGTGGATTGCACCGATGGTTCTATATCCAAGACTGGATCAATTCACATTTTTGTCGTGGGGTGTCTCAAAAAATTACCCGGTCATACTCAAGACCCCCATGGTATGCGAAGACCGTTGGATTGTCATCCAGGAGATCACCAACATCTCCATCCTTACCTCGGGGACCCTCGGTCTCAACAGGGATATATAATTTCCCGGCATAGTCTCTCGACTAACCCTCTGTGTATCTCGACAAATCACTTCCTCAAAAACGAAGATAGACCGTTAAAGCTAGCTTCAACATAGCAGCTACCACACCGAGTCAATCCATACACACCACCCCTACCAGTATTGTCCACAATCCCCGGTATCATCTCCAAAGAAGCGAATTACTCATGAAGCTGGGGATTCTCTTTTCATACCGAGGTCGGAATGTCCGACATCTACGAGTTTGATTTCATTAGCTACAATGCACATGGCCCAGCATCCCAGATTAATATGTGTGGGATCCAAGACGAGTCAAAAGTCGACCAAAATCTGTTACGCCTACCTTTCCAGGGTCCTTTCTTCGAGGGGACAGGGGTGAAGTCACTATTCAAAGGCTGGTTCACTTGCGCCTTCGTCCGTCAACGTCCTGCCCGGTAACACTCCCTCAGGCCCCTTCTACAGAGGCTTTTCGCCCCCGGTTAGGCCGACCGGCAAGCAGGAGGAGGAAAGCCGTGGCGTGGTTAAGATAGAGGTGTACGCTGCTGCTGTTCCCTTTAACCTCTATGGCTCGATGGCCGGTTCACCTGCGCTTGCGTTATTGTATCTAAGATCTGAGGCGCCGGATTCAACTCCTTCCCTATCCCAAGCGCTGCTAAGCAGACAGCATGCTGGCAGTGAAACCTTCGTGCCCGTTTGACAAGCTCAGCCTTCATCATTTCCAGGGTGACCATCTCATTGGTCTGGATCGGCTGAAGCAAGAAATTCCACCTCCTAGGCTATTATCTGCATTTAGCGGGACGACTACCTACGTTGAAGGCACTGGCGATGTCCCCTGGGCTACTGAAGAGTCGAGTATTGGCATTGTTGACTTTGTTTGAATCCCCCGGGGTATAAGGCTGCCCCTGATAATTTCATGGCTCAACTTCACATGCTCCGTCTGCAACTCCGGTCGGAAGCAAGGATGCAGACGACGAGTCCACCGCTGGTTCCAAGGCATCCCAGAAGGCCGAGTCTTTGGCTATATGCAGATTGATCATATTCATGCTGTCCTCAGTATGCAAGTGGTTATCACACTATATAAGCGCTTTGATGTTTTAATCTTTGCTTTTTACCATTGATTCTCGCTGTTTCTTAATGCTTTCTTTCTGATCTGTCATAATGGAGGAATGCGAAGAAGAAGCACATAAACAGGGGCTGCTTTCCATGTAGGAAGAGATTACACAGTTCCAATCCACTACTTTCTACATTATACAATTCAAAATTCCTCATCACGACGCACACGCGGTATAAACGCACGAAGTCTGACCAAGAAAAAGTCCGTGCGATTGACGGCCAACAGGTTGGGCTTTTAGGGTTTGGTACGACCGCGATATACCTGCCAACGGCTCCGTCCCCGACCTTAATCTGAATATCAACAATCTTTCTCTCTTAGAAGAGCATGAATTCGCCACACCTACATAAGTGCCAATCCAGAAAGCCGCGTGTAGCGCGACAGTCTCCGCTCTAGGATCTCCGTCTTTTGGACAACAGCCATTCCTTCAAAACCACTGTGTACTTTTCGTTGGCCACCAGTTGATCGAACGAGCCTTGTAATGAGAGGATGGTGTTGGCGATTTTCACAGAAACTGAGAATGTTGTTTTGTGATGAGACCTAGCGCGGATCCAACGAGTAGTAAGTGGCGAACGGCAAGCTAAAGATATATCTCGCCGCGTAGGATCTAAGTAATAGAAGAAAAGAATGCGGGTTCCTATTTTAGAAGTGAGCGCTTTGTTACGCACTGCAAACTGGTCACAGTTAATGTTAGAGAGTCACGGGTTATACTCGCCTGAATCCTCAGTCCTCCAAAACGATCTGTCTCTCAACCGTACCGTCGCCAACAGGCCTTACACGGGCTAAGCCCTTTTGAGGACATCGAGGGAACGATGCCAGCTGGAGCACTCAGTTGATCTATACCGAGGTATTTGTCAACTGATGAGCGTTGTCAAGTTATAATCAAGTAAGAAGTCACACTGGTAATCCAAGAGTAAACACAACTAACAATGTATAATTGAAGACAAAGAACTAGATACATGAATGAGTGTCCGATATATATCCCTGAGTTCTTCCTGTGTAGATGAGTAGATAGTAGAATGGTAGAGAGGCCTTGGCACTTTCTACTGTTCTACCGTCTACCGTTCTACGACCTGCATGGTCACGTGACCCTTGTCCATCCGTGCGCCGCCCCGGATAAGCCGTGACTGCCAGGCGGTATGAATAAGCAGTTTCCCAATGCAGTTAGCGCACATGCTCGAGCGGATTGGTTGGTTGGTTCTCGACGGCCCGTCCGTCTACCATGTGGGGTCGCCATCGATTGGACGCTTCTACAACTACGTCAATCCTATAGTACGTCGATATCGGCTTTTACGAGGAGCTGCCCTAGGTGTAGTAGTACACACTCGCTTATAGCGAGCTATATAAGATAGATCTATCTATAACTAGCTAGTTCTCAACCCGGACTAAGCACACTCACGTCTACTAAGATCCTTCGAAATCTTACACCACAATGCTAAGTGATGGTAAAAACGATGCCGAAAATGGCTACCTTGGACGCAATTTCCAGTATCCTCTTACCAAACTCTTAATCATCTTTTTTAAGTCACGTGATCCGTTTGAACCTGCTTGCTTTTACCATATGCTCACTCAGCAGCGAGCACTCAGGGCTGTACAGTGATCGGCTCACCCTTACTCAGTATGCTCAGGGCAGATAATCAGGGATAGCACGTGCGCGTATCCTATCTTACCTCCACATGTAACCGCTAAATATAAACAGAAAGGTCCTTTGTTGGGTGGAGGGCGGCCTCACAAGTTGTGTTCCCAGGAAGACCATCCTGCACTCCCAGGGACCATTTATTACTCCTAGGAGCCCATGATGTTCTCCTAGGAATCATTGCTTGCTTCCAGGAGCCTGTAATATACTCCTAGGAACAGTTGACGAGTGGACACAGAAGGAGGATAGGAAAGCCGGGAATCGGACGGGCCCAAAAGGAAGGATCTAGAGACCGAGGCAACGAAGGACAGAAACAAGAGAGTTGATGATGCTATCTAGCCATTGAAATGGTGTCGATATAGACCCGAGGGCGGTGGCAGAAGCTGTAACCCGCCAGGGTAGCTTCATCACAATCGACTTCGACAATCTTCCTATGGTACCTCAGCTATTCCACGTGACAAAGGGCGGTCTACCGCCTGCTTCTTCCAGCGAGTTGAATCAGCTTTTTATACTGAGGTCGAGGCCATAAGTTATGTTAGCGTGGTACTTCCACCCTTTGAATGCGGTGAGGATTCTTCATAACCGCCTTCCAATATAGGACTAGCCTAATACCCTGCTATTTCATTCCTTACGCATACAGCCTACTAGAAAGCATGTATCATAGTGGTCAAATTACATTAGCCTGTATCAAAAAAGGTGGCAGAACTTTAGTCATCAACAACGGATGGAAGTACCACGCTAACATAACTTATGGCCTGAACCACAGTAGAATATTGACGAAATCGCCTAGTTCGGCCCAATTAGGCTTAATGTAAATACATTACCGCCTGACTTCTTATCAATCGCAGGTCTGAGTCCTAAGATAATTTCGATCTCATCTTTGCCCATACTCATCGAAATCTAGCTGCCACCTTCCTCGAGGGATATTCCTGGTCCTGGGTACTCTTTTCTGGACCAGAATCATCACAGTCCTGTCAATCTGGTTGCTGCTGGGTCACCTTGTTCCTTCCGTCTCACTGGCAATTCCGAGGTCTCGCCTGCCAATAGAACTTGTCTCTCCCTTGTTCTTTCCTTTCACTGCCATCCTCGATCTCAAATCCCTCTGAACATACGGGTACCTGTTATCGCTGTGGCTGCTACTCTTTTCTTCTTCAGCGCTATTTAGCCCTCTGTAGGCACGAGTTTCTTTCTCTGATCTCGATTGCCCGGTGACTTCTTCCATCCGATGAGGCCATCATGTCCATTCAACCGCCTGACAGGGGAGTCTTCACTGCCGAGGAAATTCAATGTCTTGAAGAAGCCAACATCTTCCTGCCTCAGCACCCGGATTCTCATGCGCGCGGCAAACGCAAAGTCTCGGCCACGCTGGTGAGTTCGCCGTCAAGCATCTCCAGCTCGTCCTCCTCCTCGTCCTCCTCGGCGTCGGTTCGAATGTGGAACTTCCAACCAAGAACCATCTCTACGGACATTCCGATTGAGGAAGAGAGTGCCGCGGTGCTGGAATACCTTGGGTTTGAGACGTCAACGGCCAGCCAGGTCTTCGAGCGTTACGCTAATCGACCTGACCCTGATCAGTGCCCTGATGATCTTTTGGACTATGCTTACGGACAAATTGCAGTTCTGAGAACTGGCCCTTATCGTGACACGGACATCCAAGAAGCGATGACGCAGGTCGGCCTCACGCAGCAGATCCAATCAGCCATCGCCGACCCAGCGTTCTCCGACATACTGTGGACCCGGGATCTGCATTTCTGGGTCAAAGATACGATTCAGACCAACTACGCGACCCTTCGTAGCCGTCAGGAGCTCTTCAAACGCCATGCCAGGCGCGGCATCGCCCACAAAAACAAGCGAAGGAAGCGAACCAGTGTACAAGGGCTTTTCCCGCCAGGAGAAGGATCAGCGCTTGAGGCACCGGAGCCGGGCATAACAGCCACAATTAATATGACGACGCAAGATTTTCACCTGCCGTCTGCCCACGTCGCCATTTTGGAAGGTGATGCCCCGACTCGGCCCAATCATGTCCTCCTGTATAAAGGTAAGGCGTACTGGGATCTGCGGGGGTCACAACAACTCATCCGAGCTGACGGGAGCATCGATATGTCAACTCTCTCAACACCTCCCGGCGGTGACTTCAATTCGTCTTTCAACGCCCACTACTGGACCCCTGAGAAAGACACGGCAGAGCGATACCGAGAGTGGGCTGCTCGTCGATGTCCCGGCAGTGACACATGCATAATCCAAATCCAAGTCTCCAACGCGTTCGTTGAACGTCTACTCTCCGCAGAGATATGGTTTTCAGCAGACTGGAAGGAGTTCGTGTGGACATGCAAGCAGGAGCTGGACCCACCTCCAAAGTTTGACTATCTTCGCGACGTGGATCTCATCAGGGGCCATATCTGCACTGGGATGAGCCGCATGATCGCTCGAATTGCGCCAGCAGACGTCCAGGGGCGCATAACAAGAGACCAACTGATGAACTGCCCCTCCACTCGCCGCCCAGACATCCAGTGGATGTTCTGGAAGCTTGAGACGCTAAATCGCTTGCGAGACGAGATTCGTGGAAAAATGCACCTTGAAGTTTTTGCGGCGGCTAGTTGAGCTCGTTTCCGCTAAGAGCGCTAGCCTACGGCTGCTTTTTTTCCGTCCCTCCCATAAACACACCGGCCTCATCATTGCTTGAAAAAATCATCATGGCCACCACTTTCTTCGCTGATGGTCGCATTTTCTCCTCTTAAGCATCCTCGATCTGGCTATGTCTCGAGTCTGTATTGTGCGCGAGCGTCACCATCAACTTGAGCACTTAGAGCTGGCGGCTCATTGAGGACGCCGACCGGCTATGTAAGCTCGGGATTATCGCCTTTGCCCAGCATATCCTCTCGCTCTCGCTATTTTCGGTGCTTGTTCTACCCTCACTGCGCTATCGCATTATTATTAACGAGTGTTTGCTTACCGGGGTTTCAGGAATGGCAGCCCCACTCTTGCTTGAGACCGTTGCCGTAACATGACCTCCCAGCATACTTAGGATAGCTCTATAGGATTACCAATGTGTCGGCTTTCCATCACCACATGCGCCTACGGCTACATTGCGAAACGTCTTTCGCTGCCGAATCTCTACAATACCGCCATGTAACGGTCAGCGCTTAATGCCTGTCTTTGGAGACCGCCAATCCTGAGTCTGCCGTGTCTCGCGAATACGGTCTCGCCGCCACCGCAGGCATCGTCTTTGCCTGCTTTGCTGATTCGTGGATGGGCAGCCTACGCCCTGGGTTCTACACCAACTTTGGCGTTATAGATATGCAATAGACGCTCCAAGACATGGTCAAGGGAAAATGGAGCTTGATTTTTTTTGTATGAAGGACTTTGCCATGATCGAGTGCCAGAAGATGGCCATCCACTGAATTGAGGACAGAGATGCTAGTGTGGACTATACAATCTATGCTTATGATTGATAGCATCGGAGCAGGCGAAGGGCCAGAAGCACGATGAGAATTGAAGGGGCTGGTTGGGGGTGAGCAGCTCACCGCGTGATCTGGGAGCCGATCGCTGCCTGAGGCGGTGGGGTTACCGTCACTTAGATTACAACATACTTCCATCTACCTCCACTATAGAAAGCTACTTTGATAATGATAATCTGACCTGCCTTCCAACAAGAAACACAACGTCACCAGCTCTAGCATAGAAAGCCAAGTATATCTCACATCAAGTTGAGTTTTGCCTTCATTGTATTTCATGATCTACTACGAAACCTCTTATATAGTAATATACGAGATATCCATCATGGGGATGGGATATTCCAGGGTTGGCCTCGAATTAGAATAACTCGAACTCGTACGGTCTAGGGCGAGACCTAGATATCTATAATCTCGTGCATTGACCGTTTCTAGAAGAGTAACTCAAATGGGAGCTCGTACTACTTCGTATAACCATGGTACTCGGAAATCAAATCATGACGAGTACTACTACTACTACACGTGTCTGCTCTATCCCCTCCTGTACGTACCTTGTGTATGTACCTAGGTGAGATGTTCGGAGTATTCTTGGCACCGTGCTTGATTTTCCTTGTCATGTCTTATGGAAGCTTGTAAGAACTGGACCGTGGAAAAGCACAGCTCGTGCTGAATCGATTGGATAGCATGAATTTATTGTTATGAACTTAACCTAATTTGTTTAGCTTTAACCCACGGACCGAGTGCTGATTTGTCATGGAGAAATTACGCCAAGCCCTTGAGACTAACGGGGCCGCCTCGGCGGGTCCCAGGGCGTTTAACTAGACGATACTATCTGACCACCGTCATTGAATGAGATTCAGTTATGAAAGCACTCTTTACTGGGGACGCCCTGTGATTGGATTTCTCTTTATCGTGTAATGTGGACAGTGAAATGAAAAATATCATTAGCCTTGCCCTGGTGCGAGACATCCGTGGATGACCTGAAGTTAACCTACTATAGAAAAATGTCATTTTGAAGTTACCTCACGCCTTCCTCACCTGGGCAACTCAGGAACCCGATAAGATACCTAGGTAGCATATTTAAAGAGCCTCTCTTCTGCTTACAGTCTTTCTCCTTCTTTCTTCCTTGTCCTCCTTATTGACAAGCCATTTCGAGGCCTTCTCACATTGAGACCAGGATCTTTCTTCTGGAAACCAAAATGGCTGTCTATCACGATCTCGATTGGCTCTTCGCCGTCGGTACCATCTTCTTCATTCTCTCTGTTTGGGGAATCGGTGCCAATGTATGTTCCTTGCCTTGGCCTTCAACTGATCAAGCACTGATCTCTTTCCTTTGCACAGGATGTAGCCAACTCCTACGCAACCTCGGTCAGCTCTAGGTCCCTGACCTTGATCCAAGCCGGTATCCTGGCGACCATCACTGAGTTCATCGGTGCTATTGCCCTTGGACAACAGGTTACCTCGACCATTCGCAGTGGTGTGTTTTCCATTGATCGCTTCTTGGACTCTCCAGGAGTGTTGATCATGGCCATGGTAGTTGCTGAAGTCGGTGCGTTTCCCTTTGCCTCCCTTCTCCTTCTCTTTGCAACTTCCAAGCCAAATGTCTCAATTACTCACTCCCTTTTTCTAATGATATAGGCTCCTCGATCTGGCTTACCGTCTGCACGTACCTCGGATTTCCAGTGTCCACCACCCAATCCATTGTCGGCGCCCTCATCGGTGTCGCTATTGCGGCAGAGCTCCCTGTCCACTGGGGTTGGAAGTCACAGAGCGTTTCCCAAATCGCCGCCTCTTGGGGCATTGCCCCCCTCATCTCGGCCGCATTCGGTGCCATCATCTTCACCAGTATCCGGCTGCTGGTGCACTCGCGTGAGGATCCCATGAAGTGGGCGTTGCGCGTTATTCCATTCTATTACGCCATTACTGCTGGCATCCTGGCATTGTTCATCGTCATTAGCGGTGGTCACGGAATCCCAAAGCTCGAGGACTTGGGTGCAGGCAAGGCTTGTGGAATTATCATTGGCGTCTTTGCCGGTGTCTGGGTTATCAGTGCCGTCTTCTTTGTCCCTTACTACTGGCGTAGGCATGTCATCCCCACATCTTCTTTGTTTGAATTCTGCTAACCGACAACAGCCTGGTCAAGGAAGATCGCCGCCTGCGCTTCTGGCATATCCCCATGGGCCCTCTTCTCTGGAAGGACAACTACACCTTGTATTTCCCGGGTAACCCGGACAATGGCATTGTGCCCAACTACTATGAAAGCGACCTGAAGGCTGAGACGGACACTCTTCGCTCTGGCTCTGCCACCGAGGGACAAGAGTCCACCCTCGCCAGTCCAGAAATTGAGCCCCTCAAGGGTGATACCAGCGCTGAGAACGACGCTCGTAGGGCTGATGCCAAGATTGCAGAGAAACATCAAAAGGAGCTCCAGGCTTTGGACACTCTGCCTTGGATTCATCCCAAGCGAATCTTCGCCACCCTCAAGCTTGTTTTCACCTATGGTATTACCCGCGATGTCATTCATCACCAGTCAAAGGGTCTTGATCATATCCATCAACGTGCCCCTGCCTTTGACAACAAGGTTGAGCATCTATGGACCACTGCCCAGGTTTGCTCTGCTATGGTACGCTCGGCTCACTTCACCCTCTGTAAAACTCAGCTGACAAGGCAACTAGATCATGTCTATCTCCCACGGCGCCAACGATGTCTCGAACGCTATTGGTCCATTCACAACCGAGTATATGACCTGGCACTCCGGCAAGACATCCACCAAAACTGACACCCCAACCTGGATCAAGGCTGTAGGTGGTCTTGGACTCGGTTTTGGTAAGACTCCTTTCTCCCGCACCTCCAGTCTTCCATACATTCAGTATGCTAATTGGCGACAGGCTTCTGGACTTTCGGCTACCACATCATGCGCAGTCTCGGCAACCGCATTACCAAGCACTCGCCTACCCGTGGGTACAGCATGGAATTGGGCGCTGCGATTACTGTGTTGCTTGCGTCGCGACTGGGTCTTCCCGTTTCCACTACGCAGTGCATCACTGGTGCCGTCCTGGGCGTTGCCTTGGTCAACATGGATCTGAGAAGTATCAACTGGAAACAGCTGGGCAAGATCTTCTTTGGGTGGGTTTTGACTCTCCCGTGTGCTGGTCTCATCAGTGGAATTATCATGGGGATGGCACTTAACGTTCCCCAATGGGGACGCTAAATGGTTTGAAGTGGTTGCAAAGCAGCGGATTTTCTATGTGGTTTTCCATCTATCTCCACTTCGTGCTTGCTTTTATCCCTGTCGTTAATATTCTGAATTTGAACTGGACCCTTGTTAAAGAAGTGGGTCTCTAATAATCTGAATTCAACTGAACTCTTATTGTTAAAGAACTGGCACGTAACAAGGAGATAAAAAAATTGCTATTTATCCATTTCGCACTTTTCCTGACTAGGGCTATTTACATGTAGTATATGTTCTGCGACGACGGCCGTCCGTAGTATGAGATATCAGAGACACAGATGATTGAGACCAAGTAATACCAGCTGCAGGGCTACAGCACCTACTAGGAATAATAGCACTATGGATATTCTATTCACGAGCCTTGCAAGGCTAACATACACAGAATCGATACATATATCGTTAAATCTTCATCAAACCCGCACCAGATGGCATAAACCACAAGTTCAATATACTCCAACCCATCGGTAGATAGGGTTTGTTTTGTCGTGAGATGACAATGATACTCATCACCACTACAAGACCAATCCCACTCAAAGCAGGGTCTTCATGTCATCCATGTTACGGACACCTACAAGGTTACCAGCCTTGACACGCTTGAGCGTCAAGGCGGCAATCAGCGCAGCACCAACACCGGAACCATCCTCAGCAGCCATAATGGAAACCTTGTCCTGCTCGGTAGGGGCCCAGTCAAGGATCTCGCGGAGGGCCTGGGCACCACGCTCCTTGAAGTGGGGATACTTAGTGAAGACGGAGCCGTCCGCACCGACATGGCACGAGTCGATGTTCTTCTTGGTACAGATGGCAGCGACTCCGCAGGCGGACAGACGAGCGGCACGGGTACCGATCAGCTCTGCGAGACGACGGACGAGCTCCAGCTCCGGCTGGGTCGGGCGGATGTTCAGGGTGCGTTCGAAGAGATCCAGGGTCTCTGTCAGGTTCTCGTAAGGGTCTTCTTCGATGTTGGCGAGGAAGGAGGCATCGAGCAGGTAGGGCTTGCGCAGCTTGGAGACGTCCTGGCCGTTGAAGATCAGACCGGCGTGGTTATCGATCAGGTCTAGGAGGGCGAGACGGAAGATTTCGCCCAGATAGAGTCCGGCGGTCATCTTCTCGAAGGCTTGTTGGCCGGGACGGGGAGAGTCGCGATCGATGATGTCATCGTATTTGGTGAGAGGGAGGACCACGTGCTCGTTGTCGAAGGCTCCATATTCGCAGTTGATGGCGACAGGCATGTCAGCCGGCAGGTTCATGTGCGCGATCTTGGGTATGGACCCTGCGTTCTCCATGTATGCGGCGTTCACGCCGGTGCCGAAGATGCAGCCGATCTTCATGGCGGAGTCGGTGTAAGAGGAGGCAATGAGGGTACCGGTGGTGTCGTTAATCAGTGCTGCGACTTTAATGGGAAGACCCTGTAGCCTTGTTAGTCTTTTGTACGTGCGTAGGGAGGATAGCATCATCTCAAGGAATAACATGCCCGCTTCTTCAGGACCTCCTCCAGAGGGGGAACAACGTCATGACCCTCGACACCGTCAATATCGAAGCCCTTGGTCCAGCGCTGCAGGATGCCGTGGTCGATATACTCCTGGGTAGCGGGGTAGGAGAAAGTGAAACCGAGAGGCAGCTTGGCGATGTTTCCTTCCTCGTGGTAGTGCTCGATGAACTGCTGCAAGCAGTCGGCGATGTACTCCCACAACTCCTCGGCGGTTCCAGTCCGCAGCTCCTCAGGCATCTTATATTTGGATTGTGTGATATCGAAAGCGCCCTTCTCCTCGGTCAAGGTAATTTCGCAAACACGTAGGTTGGTGCCGCCCATATCGAGAGCCAGGTAGGTTCCTTGCTCGTTGCCATCGGGGAAGTCCAAGACCCAGGTCACGTTCATGGGCTATTTTGCTATGGTCAGTCTATGTTGAGGTCGGGGAAATAATGTCGTCCTCACAATGTTGCCGCCCTCAACGGAGAGGCCTGTTTTTGTTAGCGACTTGTAGAATCGGAGAGCTGCGGGATAAGTCACCTTTCTCGAGCTCCTTGACGAAGTGGTTCACGATCTCCTTAAGCTTGGAGCGATCGACTGTAAAAGCCTTCTCGAAGTCGTGAATGGGCCCCAGCAGGTTCTGGGGCAGTTCGTGCATGGACCCTGTACCACATTAGTTTGATAATGGCAGGGGTAGCTTGAAGAGCCTCACCCTTGCGGGACTGCGGGTGCTTAGGGCCAATTCCAACCATGATGAAGATGTGAAGGGAAATAGAAGAAAAGGAGAAAAGAAAAGAAAAAAAGTTGGGAGGGGAAGAATGACGATATGGAAATCAACGTGGGGCAACTTTGTAGATGTCTTGTTTTGGCTGTCGGAGAGAAATGAGAAAGTCAATTGGGGCTAGGCGGGGATCTTGTCATTTAATAGAAATTTGAGACTATAAATATGATATATATTATAAATGCTATAAATATTATAAATAGCCTTCACCTACAACATGCATAACCTGATAGAATTAGTTATTTACAGAAATCAGGTATGTGACTGCAAACGTTATGACCGAGATCATCTCTTGGCGTTGACTATCCACGTTAATTACTTACTAACCGGCCCTTACATTTTTTACAAAAATTACAGACCCTCCTAACGGAGGGTCCGCCACCCAAATGAAAGGGATCACCCAAACGACAGATTATTTCTATCTTTTGCTTCAACCACCATTTACTAT